AAGCCCAGCAACGTCCCTGGACTTTTTCATAAAAACTGCTGAAGCTTGAACTGCAGATCTCAGCCTATCAAAAGAACCAGATTAGTTTTCTTGGCCACAATAAAACCTATTTCTCAAACTCTCATGAGTATATATTTCAAGATCTTCATCCTGGAATATGGGGTTTTTTAAGCACCCGGCACATAAATGGCCTACTGTATGCTGAAACATGGGCCATTGGTCTGCTTCACACAAAACAGAAAGATTCCCAATAAAAATGATGATTTCAATCAAAGATTTCTGCTGGAGTTTACAATTCACTTGTCAGTTTTGTAAATATAAAACTGTCTTTGGGTCTCCCAACAACGAAGTTATTATAACAAGCATGTTTATTATATAGTGACATATGTTGGAACACCAACTAAAAGCAGCAAAGACCAGACTTCAAAAGCTCAGTGGTTTGGTACACTTAAACACCAAGGTTTGAATGCTTTGCTGACCTTTATCTAAACTACCTTAAAATCTTAGGTCTGCAAAACCGAGCTGGAAGTCTTTGAAGGACAAGCCTTCTTGTAAGATTTTCAGTACTTTAGGTCCTTGCTTTCGGTTAGGCAGGAAACACCACAAGACAGATTGTCTCCTTATTTCACCCAGAACCCGAAAGTGCAGAAGCATGCAAAAACTATCAAGAATTAAAAGTTAGCCAGACGTCTTTGAACCTCAGGAGAAGCTGGAATTCAGCTTGGTTCTTACTTAATCTGAACCAATTTGCTCATCTCTAAAACTACAATATTATTATTATTATTATTATTATTATTGATTGTCCAAAGAACGGTAGTTTGTGATTCAGGTACTAGTCTGGGACTCAGGTGATCTGGGTTTAATTCCTAGTTGTGCTAGAGACTTCTTCCTCTGTGACTCAGTTTCCCATCTATAAAATAGGGGTGATAATAGTGTCTCCCTCCCAGCTTTTGTCTGGCTTGTCTATTTAGATTGTAAAGTGTTGGGACTGTCTCTTTCTATGTGTATGTACAGCACCTATCACAGTGGGCCCTGATCTTGTCTGAGGCTTCATGATACACCATAATACACCTAGTGATATTACCAAAAAAATGAAATATTTTAGCCATATGGATTTTTCTGATAGATCAAAAATACCAAAAAAACATTGCACGTATTACTGGAACTCTAATGTGAATCCCATTATAAACCCAGACATTAGACAGTAAACTCCAGTGTGATAAGAATTATATATCTAACCCTTCCTGAAACACTTGTGTTGTTATGGTTCTCTCTCACGTCTAAGATCAGTGACAGAATTTTTCTAGGCTTAGTAAAAATAAAACCGACAGATCGATTCAACTTCTTAACATTACTTATAACTTCGCATAAGAACTCACATTTGGTTCTAGCTTAAACAAACCAAGTAGCAGCTTTTCTAGAGTCCCTAGACCCTATTTTAGTAAATATTGCTGACTATCATCACAGATAAGTAAATAAGCCCATAAAAAGAATCGCCAGTTTATCACTATAGGATCGTGGGGAGGAAATGGATTGCAGGTCTGGACATTCTGGATGCACTGCTGGTCTGGACACACATTCCTTACTTGGGCAAACTCTCCTTGGAGTAAATAGGAGTTTTGCCTGAGTAAGAATTACAAGACTGCAGTTTCTCAGGGGAGGCAGCCCTATTAATAGGGCTTGTGCTAGGGCATACAGAGAACACTCCCTGGGAAAGGTTTGCTTTATAATCCCCCCATTACACAAAAGGGCTAGGTGGGAATAGGAAGGAGTGCTGCTTCTGAGAGGCAGGAAAATATGCGGGGACACAGGAACTGTCCTGCCAGAGCATACAAGTGGTCCATCCAGTCCAGTATCCTGTCTCCAACAGTGGCCAGTACTGGCTGCTTCAGGGCAAGGTGCAAATATAATGTGCCATAATGGACAACTGCAGAATAATTTATGTAAGTTTCTTCCCAGCCCCAGACAGCTGGTGGTTGGTTTATGCCCTGAACCAGAAGGCCTATATCCCAGTTATTTTTTTTATCCTATCTGGTGGGTGATCTGATTACCCATATAAGGAGCTGTTCTTCTGGGGGAGCCTGAGCCAAAGCCCATTCAAGTACATGGGAGTCTTTCCATTGACTTTAGCAGTTTGGATGAAATCCTTGGACCCTACTAAATTCTTAGTGTCTGGGATATCTTGTTGCAGTAAGAACGAGGAGTACTTGTGGCACCTTAGAGACTAACTAATTTATTTAACAAATAAATTTTAAAAAATTTCAGTCTCTAAGGTGCCACAAATACTCCTCGTTCTTTTTGCTGATACAGACTAACACGGCTGCTACTCTGACACTCTGAAACTTGTTGCAATAGGTTCTACAAGTTAATTGTGAGGGGTGGAGAATGTATTTCCTTTTGTTAATTTTTTGTCTAGCAAGCTGGGGTGTAAATCTACACTGCCTCAGCATGCCGGGCACTAACTGTCCATATGGACTCGGTTACAGCAGCCCACTACAAGTTCCCCTGTTTGAAACAGGGGTAGGCCAATGAGCACTAGGGAACTTTTGGTGCATGGTACGCTAGTGCCCTGCAGATTAACACCCCAGCTTGTCACTCAACTAACTCCCCATCTAGACAAGCCCTTAGTCTTTCATAGTGCCCATCCTATCACTGGCAAAGTGTAGGGCTCAGGTAGGTAGATATTCACTCAACATCCTCTCTGCAGAAGGCTGATGCAAAGAAATATTTACCCCCTCTGCATTGTTCTTATCCTCCTTAATTGCTCCTTGGTGATCCACCTAACATCTCTGATTTTCTCAGCTTCAGAGAATTTTTTGTTACTCATTTCTCTTTTTTCAGCCACGTGCCCTCCTAATTTGCTTCTTACATTCTCCTTTAGCGCCCATCACCTTAGCACTGAAGTACTGAGCACCCGCAGGTAAATTAGACCTGCACAGTGCACTTCTATTCTGTTCTACGGAGATCAAGCAGTCTGACCAACACATGCCACTCGTTCGTTCTCCCCGCTTCTAGGAAGTTCTGCCTTTTTCCCTTATGGTGAG